GAAACCATAGAGCGAAGCGCAGGCATCGTGGTATTAGGACAGACTTTAGACATTTGTTTTGGAATTTCCGTGAGATTGCCCGCGCTGTGCACAAAACGGGGGGCGTCGTTTCCATTGAGTGGCCGACTCAGCGTAACTATTGGAGGGATCCTCAGGTGAAAGAATTCTTGAGAGAGTTCGAGGTTGTTCAGACAGCGTTGCATGGATGTGCGTACGGACTAAAGGATAGCAAGGGTAATTTCATGAAACAGCCCTGGACGATAGCTTCTACTTCCTCCGATGTTGCGGAGGGACTTGAGCGCAGATGCGATGGCACGCGCGAGCACGTTGAGGCTAGAGGACGAGAGTGTAAGCTTGCAGAAGATTGCACGGATGCCTTTGCCAGACAGGTCCATAGTTGTTGCTCGAGCTGCAGAGAGAGTTTTGTCGTCTCGTCGTCGTCCTATCCTGTCCTCAGATCTCGTTTGTGCCGCTGCCGTTTCGTCTCCAGAGCTTGCGTGGGCTGCCCTGCGGCCGGCCCCCCCTCGGATCGCGCATTCGCCTTGCCGCGAGTGCGCGAGCCATCCCTGCCGCGGCCCCCGCGCGCCCAAGAAAGCATCAACCAAACCCATGTGTCGACCGTTGGGAGACCCAGCGGTTAAGCCGTCGGGGGAGAACGTTGTTTCGATCTGCTCGGGCGATATTATAGACGAACTCCTCCCCGACTCGATAGAGAAGGGCATTTCCTGTGTTGAGCCCAAAGGAAATGCTCTTCCCGATGCAATTCGAGAGGCTACCCCACCGGCACAGCCGAGTGAGGAAGCTTTCCCACCGGTAAGCCGGCTGAGGACGAGGCTAAACCAAATAGCCCGAGCGATGGCGTGGTGGACGAGGACATCGAGATCGAGGCTGGTGTAGAGATTCGCGGAGAAGAGATCGTTGCTCGCAAAAGAGCTGCCGAGAAAGCTATCCAGGACAATCAGCCTGCCAAGAAAGCGGCCACCTCCGGTCCAGGAGACAATGATTCCAGAAAAGACAGACCAACATTCCGTTGCTTTCCCGACAAAAAGAGAGAATGGTCCAGATTGGATCACACCGGAACCGTCAAGTTTGCACGCAAGCGGGGATGGAGTTGGCGCTTTACGATGGGAGGCACGACATATTATACATGCGGAACGACCAAGTCGTGACCGCACTAAAGGCTGACCTGGACGCCACATCGCAGACGATATTTCAACGTCTGTATTCTCAGGTCTCGCAGGATCCGTGGACAGTGCACTGGACAACATTCGACAGGAAGGCAACATGCCGTTTCGATGGTGCTCCCCCTGATCTGGACCATATCCCCGTGTGTACATCCTTTCAGTCGTACCCTGATGAAATGACGAGGTTGGTTTGTAAGTTGTATGCGAACACACCAGGGGAGGCACGTCGCGCTGTTCGAATTCTTGAAAAAGGAGAGGTTATGGGTCCCACCGTTGGCCCAGCCATGCGGTGTAAGACTATTTGCGGAGATTGTGTGAGCGTCCCAGTGAAAGACCACTGGACAGAAGGAGCCGCTGAGTTGTGGTTGAACCTTTGGGGCCCTTCTCCCCGGACGCCTCCCCTCGGCGCAGCCACTGGGGATGGTTGGGGAACAATGTTTGCCCTTCCTGTGGTCGAGGGTTTGTCCCGCGCGCCAGTGCATGTTGTTGAGGAGGCCCTCGCCACTGCCGCAAGAACAAACTATTTTGAGGTCTCCCCTCAGCAGGCGCTACATTGGCGCAAGGACCAACGACCATGGAAGCGGCCGCCAAAGTTGGATGAATGGCTTGCCAAGGACGGCCTTGATCCCGAGGCCGACGCGCAGTCGCCACCGAAGACGTCGCGGACGACAGCGGAGGCACCGAACGACTTAGTCGCTTCGGCAAGCCATCAGACAGACGCTGCCATCACTCAGCCCTCGCTGGGTTACCCCGGAGTCGGCTGCAGGCTGCTGGCGGATCATCCGCCGAGCCAGCCTCGGGTCCGGCTGGCCCTCCCGGCTCAGCAGATGGCGAGACAGGTGGTGGCTCCCCCCCCTGCTCAGCCGGAGGTGGAGGGGCTCCGCCTGGATCAGGTGATTCCTCTTCGGGAAACGTTCCACCCCCCATCCCCCCTCTGGAGGTGATGGCGGGGATGGGCCGCCCGGATCGGGGCCGCCCGCGACCGACGCTGAGTCGGGCACGTCGGGCGGGGCCCCTGGAACGTCCTACACTATCATCGGTTGCAGGGGAATGTGGCATCCGATCCTAAGGCCCCAACAAACGAGTGGCAGGTTAAGGTGAACGAGATTCTCCAGCTTTATATTGACATTACAGACCCGACGATGACTACCTGGACGGTAAAACTAACATATCTTCAGAAGTGCCAGGCAACATCGCAAATCGCTCGGGTGAACGGACACGCGTTGATCCCATTCATAGGTGAGGACATTGCGGCCATGTCGGACACAGGGAGGCCAGTGTCTGACTTCATTCGTCCACTTTGTTTGATGAGTAGTGGGTCGTATAATTGTTGGTCTTTTTCTGATCATATTGTTTCAGACTCCACAATTGCATTCCGCGATGCGACCAAGAAAAATAAATCTAGTCTTCTCCCTGAGTTTCATTTGCGGGAACGTGTGTTCGGAAGCTCGCAGACGATCATGAGTGGATGCGTGGCCCCAGCGATTCAGGAGGCGGCTTCGAGCTTTGATTGGAGTAACCATACTCACTTTAAGAAAGGGATCCATACTCCGATACGTTTCATCTTTTGGAATTTCAATAACATTGTTGATGGGGCCAGTGAGTTGAACGGAGTCGGCACCGGGCCACAGCGGCAGGAAAATCCAACAGCTTTCGCAGGTAGCCTCCGAATATTTAAAGGCTGCCGCCTCTGCCGCCGACCCCAAAGAAGGTCATGATGGCGCGTGTCAGCTGGTTCTGGGCGTGGGGCAGGGGCTCGGCAGTAGCACGTCAAGGAGGTGTCGTGTTGGGGCAGGCTTTCGTGGTCTTCGGTGTTCTCGGTGCGCGCACATCCGCCAAGCACAATAGAAAGTCAGTGATGTTGGGTTCTTGGGGCCGCGTTCGGGGGACTCGTGGAGGTTCGGGGAGGTTTCTTGGGGCCTCCTGGGTTCCCGCTGCTGCTGTGGCCGCATTTCCATTCGTCTTGTTGTTCCGATGTGTGTTTCAGTTGCAGCGCAGGTGTTTTCGGCACCTCCACATCGGCCGTGCATCTCGAGCATGCCAACGTTGGACACGACAACTCATCTGACTCATCTGGAGTCTATTCGTTTGTTTTTTTGGGCCGCGGAAGGCATCGCCAATTCTGGGGCGTCGTGTGGCCTGAGTGGTGGCTTCGGGTAGTCCCGTGGTGACGATGTCAGGCATTTCCATCCAGAGTATGGTTTTGAGTGCGGCGGCCCAGGCCGCGACGACGTCGCGGAAGTTGCCCGCGCGGAAATCTGCGAAATATCCGCGTGAGGTTGCCCTTCTTGGCCGTCCTTTCCCCTCTTCTCCCCCTTTTGCTTCTCGCTATGCATTCTCGCTATGCATATCCTCCTGTGTCCGGCGGTCCTCCTCATCCCCCCCCTTCCCTCTTCTTTCCCCCTCCCCACTCCTTGTCTTCTCTTCTCCTCTCTCCATCTCTGTCGCTCTGGTGTCAACAGAGTTTCTGGTAATTTGCAAAGAAGTTTTTCCGAATGCAGTGAGAACCATCGCTAGAGATCAGCGCCCTCTGGAACCAGAGTCGCTTCGCCCAGGGTATTGCAGCGTCTTGTTGCAGGGTTTGGAGCTCAGGGAGGGAGGGGTGGATGGGGGGGCGGGGGGGGGGGGGAGAGAGGACGAGAAGAGAGGAGGAGGAGGATGAGGAGGAGGAGGAGGAGGAGGAGGAGGAGGAGGGGGAGGAGGAGGGGGGGAGGAGGAGGAGGAGGAGGAGGAGGAGGAGGAGGAGGAGGAGGAGGGCAGGCCCCCACAGTACTCTGCGAGCGTCGCAGCATGCCCGGGTGCACGAGAAGCCGATGGTGTACATTCCTGCGCGCGACGCGCCCACGCCGGACGCGCCGACCAGATTTGCCGCGCCACAAAATGGCCTGGTTGCAGCGCCACGACAAGGAGAGCGGGGATCTGCATGGGTTTTCGCCGATTGCGGAGGGCATGCCAGTGGCCCGCACGGATCGCATAGATCGCAGCGAGGACAAGTATCTGCTCCGCGGTCGCGTGGGGACCGTGCACTCGTTGGTGCGTGATGGCGAGGAAGGAGCGGGCCGCGTCTGCTGGGGTGGGGAGACCATATTGCAGAAGACGCCAAAGATGATATTTGTCCTGTTCGACGAACGTCGTGACGATGCAGATCACATCATCCCATGCAAGTGGACGATTCCGGGGCTCCGAACGCCGGGCCTGCACCCCGTGAGCCCACAGAGGGAAGATTGGTTCGTGGACGAGGGTCGGCCTTGTCCGCGCCTGAAAGTTAAGCGGCGGCAGCTCCCCTTGGCCCCCGCGTTTGGAGTCGCGGCCCACTCAGCACAGGGCCAGACTTTCAAACAGGGTGTCATTGTAGACCTGAGGATTGGCGGGGGCACGTCGCCGCCGTCGAGTTACGTGGCTCTGACGCGCGTGCGGCGTCGGGAGGACGCGTTGATATTTCGGCCTTTCGGCCGCGCGCCGCGCATGCAGAAGAAGCGGAAGGGGCCCGAATTATTGTTGCCGTCATTGCGGGGACAGCCAATGGATTGGGATGCAATTGAGAAGGCGTTCATGCCTGCAGGGAGGTGCGCACTGTGCTCGTCGGTGAAGTGCAAGAACCAGTGCGCGCTGGGGCAGTGGAATCGGCCCGACGGGTTCCGCGTGTGCAAGCTGTGCTTGGAAGGCAAAGCAAGCGTCGGCACGCCGTTGCAGTGCGCGGAGTGCTTCCTGTGGAGGGGCCAGGATGCTTTCCACGCGTCCCAGCACCACAGCTCGAAGCTCGCGTCACGGCGTTGCGTGGACTGTCCCGAGAGGTGAGGGCGTTTCGTATGCGAGGAGCGGAAGCACGAGGATGCGTTCGTGGAGTTGCAGTGGGAGAGGGCGGGGAACGCCCGATGTAAAGGAGGAATGTGCCTCGAGTGCGAGGAGCCGAAGAAGCACCTCAAGTGCGCGCGCTGCGGCCAGGAGCAGTTGCGGGTCGAATTTTCCAAAGCGGAGCAGTGCAAGGACGAACCCATTTGCAAGTCGTGTAAGAAATTTGTGAAAAAGGAGGAGAAGGCGCGGGCCGAGGCCGAAGAACGGGTGGCATGCTCAAAGTGCGGTGAGTCGAAGAAGAAGGCAGAGTTTTCTAGGCACAAGTTGGACCACACGGACACGGCGTCGATACTGTCTGTGCACTGCGTGCGTCGACACCGAGACTGCAGAGCGGGTCGCACAATCTAGGAAGTATTTGAAGATTTGCGCGGTGTGTGGGGAGGGCAAGGCACGGGAGTTCTTTTCGGATCGCATGTGGAGCGACGCGGCTAATCAGGACCGGAAGTGTACTGCGTGCGTCGACGCCGAGGCTGCAGAGCGGGTCGCAAAATCTTGGAAGTATTTGAAGATTTGCCCGGTGTGTGGGGAGGGCAAGGCACGGGAGTTCTTTTCGGGTCGCATGTGGAGCGACGCGGCTAATCAGGACTGGAAGTGCATTGCGTGCGTCGACGCCGAGGCTGCAGAGCGGATCGCAAAATCTAGGAAGTATTTGAAGATTTGCGCGGTGTGTGGGGAGGGCAAGGCACGGGGGTTCTTTTCGGATCGCATGTGGAGCGACGTAGCTAATCAGGACCGGAAGTGCGTGCGCTGCATCGAGGGGGCGAGGGTGGGCGCCAAAGTTTGCGCGGTGTGCGGGGAAAGTCAGGGGGGCGAGTTCTTTTCGAGTCGCATGTGGGCCGACGCGGCTGATCAGAAGCGCAAGTGCAAGCGCTGCATCGAGGGGGCGAGGGTGCAACGCGGATGTTGGACACGCATAGCCTGCAAGGGTGTGGCCCCGAAAGGGGATTTCGGCCGCTGGTTGGCACGGCGGACGACGAAAAGACCAAATGGAAAGCAACGGTGCAACAAGTGCTTCGAGCACGAAGAGCGTAAGAAACAAGAAGTCGCCGAGCGCGCTTATCGCAGTGTGCAATCGGTGTCGAAGAAAGCGAGGTCGAAGCAGCAATGACGCGTCTGCCCCTGAGGGGGCCGGCCCGGCCACGGGGCTGGCACGCAGACCGACCGACTGAACGACCGACCGCTTGTTGCGGCCCACGACGTGGTCCGAAGAAGAGAGACTCCATGGGGATGGGGGGCCCCAAGAACTGAGGCTCCATGGGGTCTGGCTGTCGGGAGGACGAGGTGGGAGCACGGTGGGCGGGGGGTCGGCCGTTTTTGGGCGAGAAATGGTGGGGTGGGGCGTCCCAAGAACTGAGGCTCCATGGGGTGTGGCTGTCGAGACGCGGTGGGGGCGCGGCGGAGGGCGTCGGTCGTTTTTGGACGAGAAATCGTGGTGTGGGGGGGTCCCAGAACTGAGGCTCCATGGGGTGTGGGCGTCGGGGCGCGGCGGAGGCGCGGTGGGGGGTGTCGGTCGTTTGTGG